ATACAGTGCAGTGAGAAACACCCTTAACCGATAAAAGAATTTGAAAAATAATTTGGCCAAACTTGGAATTCAAACCCCGGATCTCTTGATCTTCAGTTGTGATTTACGATGAGTTTAATGAAGATGAAAACAATTAAATGAAATGTGCATTTTGGAGAGCTTCCAATATTAAACAATATTGTGGAGGTTATTCAATTACCTGCTGTATTACAGTATCTGATATGAAAAAAAATCTGTGACCAACAGTGAGAATTTTTCGGAACGTAAGAAGAAATCTAAATTGGATTATTACAAGGATATGAAAAAAGATGGTATTAAATGTAAAATGGTAAAAAATCAGAGTTAACATTCCAGATATATCTTAGCCGCCGATTGATAGCAGTAACCATTGAGTTATATGTACTACGTGCTAGAGAAGCCATTCCGAACATTAACTATGTTCAACTGAACTGTAGTGCAATCCATACAAACTAAATATTGCGTAAATTGAAGATTTGTAAATTCTATAAAATAATTATTATTATATTTTATTTAGAAATATGTTTGTTTAGATTAAACTATGATATTTTATATTAAATTCTTATATTTATTTTTTATTAATATCTTATTTTATATCAAATTAAAGTCTTCGCGCATGCGCGACTACTACTACCGCACATGCGCGAACACACAGAGTAGGACACAATTTTTGTTTGGAATGGCTTCTCTAGTACGTAGTACATATAACTCAATGGCAGTAACCGTATCGTTTAAGCCAGATGTGAAATATCCAAACAGGACCTAGCAAAAATGTTGGAGAAGTCTCAACCAGATTGCTCTTTCCCTAATATTTTATTAGGTTCTTAATAATAATAGATTTTACGGAAGTACGGAGTGACCATGTGTGCTCTAAAGTACTCGAAATGTCTGGAACAAAAGATAATACACGCGACAAAATCCGTAGAAACTAGTTTTCTGCCGACTTCCAAAAAGGAGACGGTACTCAATTCGACTGTATGTTTTTTTTTAATCGATTCACTCATAACTTTTTACTGGGTGAATCGATTTCGATAATTTTTCTTTTATTTGAGAGCTGGTATTTCTCGTGTGGTATCATATGAATTTGATCAAGGTCAGAGCAATAGTTTTTGAGTTATTATTAATAACTTAAATTGAAGTCGGCTGTACAAAATTTTTAATTTTAAATTATATTTAAATGTGTAGTGTTCGCGTAAACATAAAAAGTAATTTTATTAGGTTTGTCCAAAATGAGTATTTTATAAAAATAAGTAAGTTAGATAAGTAAATCGCTCGCAATACGCACTCATATAAAGATTAAAATGTCTTCAAACAGATACAATAATAATTTGCAACGGCAGAATGCAGTACTCGCATTTGAAATTTAATATTAGAAGCGCCATTATAGCGTACCATATAGTTTTCACCAACACCAATATACACAACTTGGTTTAGAGTTTTACGAGTATAGAAAACAATGAAATTTCGATAGTAATTGTTCGCAACGAATGCGAGTGATCGATTTGTTGGCCGAGCGCCAGCTATTGCCCACTACCACTTGTAAAAAAAATTAAATTATTTTAACAGGAAAATTATACACAAAATAAAAGTGTATAATTTATACTTTGCGAATGCGATGACTGGTCAACATACATACCATGACGATGCCGTGAGGCAAAACCAGTCGGTTTTTATAGTCAATAAAGTAATAATTTAAAATAAAATTATGAAACAAGCAGGAGTGCTTAGCCAAATCACAAAAATGAAAATTAAAGCAGTGACAATAAATGTTAGCCCAAATTTTAATGTTTCTGTTTTATAAATTATGCAAAGTACTCACATTGATTTATTATTAGATCGTCAAATTAGCGAACATTTTTGTATTTTGTATTTCGTGTGTAGTAACTATTATTTATTTATTGTTTGAATTTTTATTTATTTATTTATTGCTAATAAGTGTGTTTCATCACTTGCCTAACAACCTGTATGGATACTGCACAAAGGCTGTGGCAGAATAGCAGGAGTAATGGGTTTCCCGTTACAACTGAGTCACATACCGTTTTGTAACAAATCAGTAACTATTAAACTATCTATTTAAATTTTAACGTTGCATTGTTTTGTGGCAAATAAATACTTTTTATTTATTTATTTATTATTATGAAATCTTAAAAAAATGAGAATGTAACTTTCCTTATATATTCACGTTCCAGCAGCTTTATTTACTATTTATATAAAACGAATATAATGTGTGTTTTATTAGATTAATGTTTTAATGTTTTAATTGTTGTTTTAACAATAATTTTAAGGTATTTTTCATCGAGTATTGCCGATAACAAACGGTAAGTGCTATTTGATTCATACCCAACTCAAGGAAGGCACTAGCTATTTCTAGCCATGTGTTGATGGAAGCGCTATTGCGCTATGCGTGAGTGTCGTGGAACACTGAGTTGGAACGAAGTACCTTTCATTGTATATTATTATTAATAAACGTACTATATTATTGATTAATAAATATAAATAAATTAATTGTTAGCGTCTATTATTGTAACATCTTAATGATTTCTTATATTTACGCGAACACTACACATTGAATAAAACTACTTTTACGGATTTTATCGCGTTTAATGGAACTTATTTTTCTTATTTTTATTAATTCCCGACGTTTCGGGTGCTTCCCAGCACTCATGGTCACGGGGTCTGAGGTGATTGACGTCCCGATGTCAGAGTTAACCCGGTTAATACCTTCAGCTTTTTTAATTATTAATTTTGATCCGATCTACACAGAATCAACTTACTGTACCTTGAAGTCTTGCAGTGGTATGCTTGGGTTTAGTTTTAATTTTATGAATTACAGAATCCCAAGCAGGTGGTAGTACCCAGCCTCCCTCTCTATTGAAATTAGGATGTTTTTTAATTTCAATAGCCTCACGTATCGTCCTTGGCAGGAATCGATGTTCTTTCGCGAGAATTTGTGGTTTATCAAATATAATGTAATAAGTGCGGGGGCCGTCTAGGATATGATCACAAACTGCAGACTTCCCGGAACGTTGGTGCTTTACGTCAGCTATGTGTTCTCTTATGCGGGTTTTTATTGATGGTTTTGTTTGCCCTATATATGAGAGTGGTCTCTCACAATCAAGTTTGTACACTTCTGCATCTTGTAGAGGAATATTATTAGGAATCTTTGTCGCCTAGTTCCGATCCGCCAAACCGTCCGATAAGGAACTTCGTTCCAAAAATTGTGTTTGAGAGAAATGAAATTATACTTGTTAATTGTTAATAGTGTATCTTAACAGTGATATCAATAAATAAAATGATAGTATTGAAATAGGAATTTAAAGGCAGGCAACGCATCTGCAATTCCCCTGGTTCCCCTGGTGTTGCAGTTGTTCATGGGCGTCATGCTCGTTTGCCCCCTCTCCAATAAAAAAGAAAAGAAAAAAAAAGGAAATAATGTATTACGTAATAACTAGCTGGATCGGCAGACGTTGTTCTGCTCTTTGCAATACTCGTAGGTGGCGCAAATATTCATTCAAATATCACTCCAGATTTTTAACATCTATCATAAATACTTTAAAGGACTTTATTAGCGAAATACTCAAACGCTATTCAATTTTAAGATTTCGATAATTCTCGTGGGGTTACAGTCACTTTAACTTAAAGTTATAGAGACAGCACGAAACTTAACGGCACCTTAAAATTGAGCCACGTTTAAGTATTTGGGCATTAGTAAATTCTTTTTACTATAAAACTGTAATACACCCTATTTATGGCAAATAAAGGAATTTGTGACATTCCTTGGGAGATGCCTATGATCAGGAGTGGACTTGTGAAGGGTTGTAATGATGATGATGATGATGATGAAAGAAATTTAAATTTTTAATATCTAAATTCAAATGTTGCATTTTTTTTGCAATAAACCAATAAAGATGTAAATAGGAGTCATATTGATTTTCATGATTAGTACGAGTAGTTACGCTTACGACCACTAGAGCAACGAAGCATTTTACCCTGCCGCTGCCGCTGTTGATTATGTAGTCTCGGGTTCAAATTCCGGGTCAGACCAAAATCAGTTATTGTAGTATTCTATCAAGAAAACCTCAATAGCAGCCCCAGCCCGAAGAAATCCTCAATAGTATAGAATTCATTCCTGATTCCGGGCCTCAGTTGATGGTGTTTTTTCCCCCGTCTATTGGGAGCATGTGATGTCCTTGGTCCTTCACTTGGTCTCTCTCTGGTCATGTCGGCTTGTATTTAGATATATCGTACATTAAGAGTGAGGAAATATAGAATGCACCTGTGCTTACACACACACTCGTGCACTATAATCCTGCCCTGTCCTGTAGATGGTTAGTGGCCGTTGCGACTTGCCGCAGTGATGGAAAATTCGCTCTGGACAACATTTCACTCCACGAATACTGGCAGAATTTTTACCGTCAAGAAGAAAATAAAGTATATTAGGGGAGCAAAGTAGTAGCCTATTAAGCATAGACATTTTTCAAATGTTTTTATTTTTTAAGATAATATATGATTAAATTGATCTATCAATAAGTATTACTAATTTGAAGTAATTTCTTACCTAGCGGCTGACATCAAAATCAAGGGAGGATTTTAACTGCGAAACATGAAGCAGATGGTAACGATAGCGTTTTATGATGAACAGTGAATTATTTAATGTTGCCACTGCAATTCTATTTTGTTATATTATATTATACGTAGTTGAGCCATGCTGCAGCACAAATAGCTCGGCTCGACCGGGAAAGAACCACGCGCTCACAGAATACCAGTGTAAAATAGCAGCTCAATGCTGCTGTGTTTTGTATAGTAAGTGTGAAGAAACGAGGCATTCCATCTTAGTCCTCAGAGGTGACAACGCTTTTACATTTTGATTCTTAACTGAGGAGAGATGTCTATGGGCATCGACTTACTATCAGTTGGACTGTGATCTCGTTTGTTACCCTTATTCTATAAATAAAATTCTTAAATGAATTTGCTATTTTCAGGTAATGGATATATACCAACTTCGAGCTTGCGCGAGATTTTAGCCGCTCTAGACGATCAACTCACTCCAGACCAGCTTAACGAGATGATAGCTGAGATCGACACAGATGCTTCTGGTACAGTTGACTTTGATGGTATGTACCTACATAATATATATGATGTTTACGACAGATACGCAGGAATTTAACATTGCGTATCAACTTCTGCACTCGTCAACTTGCCTGCCCAGCGTGGACTTAAAATAAAGTAAATTGGATTTCTCTTTCAATAAACGTTTATTAAAGATACAATACCTAAACGTAGCTACGAGATACTGTTCACCCTGCGAAAAGTTTTTAATAAAACCAAAGTTTGTCCCCCGAACTATCACGAGTTTATAACGCTTGAGAACGAAAATGCAGTTTTAATGACTATTCTTTAAGCATTCATGGAATAACCGATGAAGGTTTATCATTATTATTACAAGTCCACTGCTAAACAAAGGCTACACAAGGAATACCACAAAATACGGTCCTTATTCATCCGTATCCATCAATTTACTACATGTCTTCCTAGGTCCTCGCTCGCTCTATCTGTTGGGGATCAGCCACATTCTTCGTGTACCGTTACAAGGGTATAGTTGATAATGATATATGAATGAATGAATGAATGAATATACTTTATTGTACACCACAAACTAATAAACAAATTACATAACAATAGACAGGTTAAATGTACAATTTGGCGGCCTTATCGCTACATAGCGATCTCTTCCAGGCAACCAAGGGTGTAAAGGAATAAACAATGAATACTGGGTAGGTGGTGCAATATAATTATACAAAATATAATATCAATACATGCGATATATAGACAATAAATGCAATAAAATAACATATAAATAACTAACACATGAAATGATATAAATTACTAATACATAATAAAAGATAAAGTAAAGCATATAATATATACATAAACATACATATATAAGAGTATATAAACAAACTTACATATCTACCCAAAATACATAAATAAATTACAAATTTCCTCAAACAATAATATAATGCTGATAAATACAATAAATATATAATCACATAATTATCCTAACGGTCTCCGGACGATTGAGACAAGTAATGTTCTTTAAGTAGTCTCTTAAAGATTACAATAGATTGTGATATATTAGTTTAAATAAATAAACATCACTCTACTACCAGATGGGAAAAAGAAATTTCCATATAAAACAATTACCGTACTTAATCTTAAGCATTTGCTTACACAGGACTGAGATCCCATTAATTCCTTCCTTTCTGAGTAGATCATGGGTGTCGTGAGCGGGCCCCCCAATCACCATCTAGTATTGAAATATTACATAAATGCACCAACACAAGTATTAGTTAAAACACAGCTACTTCTTCATAAATCCATCCTCATAATTGGTGTTTACGGGATAAGATTAAAGGGGATTTAATCAACAGTGCGATTGTGTTACTTCCGACGAGTTGGACGAAATTCGAATTATTATTGTTGCTTTGACATTATAATATGGCAAACTGAAATTTTATTTCATTTAATATCTGGTAAGATTTTCATTACTAATTTATTCATAGACTGCCTCGTAAGTCAAATGGTAGAAAACACGATTGATAATCATGAGCTCCAGAATTCATTCTGGGTAAAGCCAAAAAAAAAGAAATTAAAAAATTCTCAGTACCTTTCCGGAGTCAGGCGGCGTTTTATCCCCGAGCCTAGGAAAGCAATAAAACATGTATCGTTGTTGATTCTACGCCTAATCTCTTTTAGGCGATATCGATTTGCCATTCCATCGGACTATGTTTGAGAGAATAGAGAGTACACCTATGCTTGCGTAGACTCGGGCACTATAATCATGTCTTGCGCAGATGGCTAGTCTCCGTTGAGACTGAACGCCGTGACTGAAATTCGATCTGTTATAACTTCATTTCGTTTTACTGTTTATTTATAGATTGTACACCAGGAATATGATGACTGTCCAGTACTGGTAATCTCTAGTAGTTCATGCTGTGGAAATTACTATTATGTTGTGTGTAATAAATTAAAATAATACACTGTTAAAAAAATGGTCAGTGGGAATCACTTTGCAACGGCGTTTTGTTTTCACTAATATATTACTTTGTAGCGAGGAGTTGAGCTGTATGATAATTTTACTATTAGCTTTTTAGGTTGTTATTATAATAAATATTATTATTTATGTTACATTGTACAAAATGTAACAATTTCATTTATTAATATTTCAATGTTATTATCACAGACTTTATGTTTCAGAGTTCATGGAAATGATGACCGGTGATTAAGAATGAGCTGTTTGCGTTTGTGAAAAACAACAACCTAGTCATGCAAATAAATACCTAATTAATTCAGCAGTGTCTGTGTTTCATTAAGTACCTTAACTTTACATTAAGTAAGTCTAAAAAAACTGGAGAAACTTTAGCAGTAAAGCTGACTCTGACATAAGTTGATAATATAAGGTACGAGTATAAGAAAATAAATTTTATATTTTTAAAGTAGCAGCTTAAAACTGCTGTGTTTCGTTTGGTGAGTGTAGAGAACCGGATACTCTTTTTACTGGAAAAGGGGCCTTCCATCTTAGTCCTCACGGGTGACAACGCATCTGCATTTTGATTCGCAAACGAGGATAGATGTAGATCTTTATGGGCCACAGGCAAACCACTTACCATCAGGTGGACTGTGTGTTCGTTTGTCACCATATCCTATAAAAAAATTTCTTTAAACTTTAACTAAAAATAATTTTTTACAAACCTCCATCCATACCACATATAAAATTGTAATGTCTTTCTGTAATATGGAAATAATTGCCTTTTATTAAGCTGAGGGTATTGTTTACATGCCAATAATACATGAATAATTATTTTTAAAATTTTTGACTGTCTTTTTTTTATAGGTTAGTTTGACAAACGAGCACACAGTCCACCTGATGGTAAGTGGCTGCTGCGACCAATAGACACATACGTCTATCTTCAAAAAATAATCAAAATGCAGATGTCCACCTGATGGTAGTTGGTTGATGTGCCCCATAGACATCTATATCTATCCTCGTTTGTGAATCAAAATGCAAATGCGTTGTCACCCGTGAGGACTAAGATGGAATGCCTCTTTTCCAGTAAAAAGGGTCTCCGGTTCTCTACACTCACCATACGAAACACAGCAGTGTTAAGCTATGTTTCACGCTGGTATTCTGTGAGAGCGTGGTCCTACCCCGGTAGAGCCGACCCATTCGTGCTAGAACTATACTACTAACATAGCTGCAGCATGGCGCTACCACGTTTTTATCTGTTCGGGTTAATCGTCGAAATTACTAAGCCAATTGTAATGAAACTTCACATATAGATAGAAAATAATACCAGAAGTGATGTAGGATATATGTTATCCGAATAACTTGAAGATTTTTTTGGGAAATCGAAAAATTGATAAAATAAATGGTCTTTGATGATTATCTACAATCTAAATAATACCATATTAATAGATTCTACCAAGGCCAAGACGGGGTTGCTAGTTTAAAATATTATTAATTCTTTCTCCACGGATTACCACATATTACGGTCCTGAGCATGAAGCAAATACAAAGAGGAGACGTTGTAATTCAATTTCACTATGAAACAATGCGTGACAATTTGCGGGGTGAGGGGATGCAAAGCCCCGCCCACTACACTATCTACATCTACCGATAAATAGTAAAACTACTCGAACCTTTCCATATCAATGTTGCAATGTAGCTTAGCTACCTTGACGGTAGATAGCGGCATATCCACAAAATGTTATTAAACTAAAAAATAATATTTTGGCGATTAAAATTTCTTTATGTCTGAATGCAAAACAAATTTTTGCACCTTCGTATGATTATTTTATCGTTACTGAGTTCTACGTACCTTTATATTTTTAGTTCACAGGACACAAAGTGTCGCCATCTAGTGTGGAATATATTTAATTATATTTGAAAGCCGACGCAAAGAGATTTTTCTAGAACTATTTTAATAAATTAGGTGTAAAATTACTTACAAATGAAATGTGATGCCATCCATAGCATCGGAGCGTCTATCTCATGAAGCAAATACATTCATACAAAGAAATTTTAATCGCCAAAATAATATTTTTATAGTTTTCATAATAATTTTGGGAACAGGCCGCCATCTATTGTCAAGTAAACCTCATAAAAAATTACAAAACGACAGGGCCGCAATTAGAATTCAATTATTTTACCCAGTGACCCAACATTCAATATTAAAATGAAGGAAATTGTACTTGGCTGATTTTTACGAAATGTTTACGTTATATTTAACTGACATTCTATATGCAAAGAATCACTTAAATACAATTTAAATATGTTTATCATTTCGTGAAAGTCAACCTTCAAAAAATATTTATTTTCTCCATAAAATAAAGTCTCTTTGAAACTAAATATTCTATGTTCAATATTAAGTAGGATATTTAATTTGGAACTAAATATCCTATTTATCTCACTGATATTATAAAGGCGAAATTTTGTGTGTTTTTTCTGTCTCCTTGAGCTTATTCCACACTAAGTATGTACTGTGTATGTGTAATTTTTTCACGCAGAAACGGCTGGACTATTATTTATCTGTGGGTTATACTACTTAATATCTCTGAGGGAGAACAAATAATAGACAAATTATTATAATTAATATAATTTTATTTACAAATCAATTAAAATATAAATATTTTATTCCAAATTAGGCATCCGAATGCACTTTTTGAATGCCAATCTAAGAACATTAAATTGTATTTAAGTGATTCTTTGCATATAGAATGTCACTTATATATAACTTAAACATATCGTGAAAATCAGCCTAAGTACAATTTCCTTCATTTTAATATTGAAAGTTGGATTTCTGAATAAAATAATTGAATTCTAATTACGGCAATGTCTTTTTGTTATCTTTATGAGATTTACTTGACGATAGAATACGGCCTGTTCACATAATGATTATAAACTAAAAAATAATATTTTGCGATTAAAATTACTTTATATCTGAATGCAAAACAAATTTCAGCACCTTCGTATGTTTATTTTACCAATACTGAGCTCTACGGACCTTTATATTTTTAGTTCACATGACACAAAGTGTCGCCATCTAGTGTCGAATATATTAGAAAGCCAACGCAAAGAGATTTTTCTAGAACTATTTTAATAAATTAGGTGTAAAATTATTTACAAATGAAATGTGATGCCATCCATAACATCAGAGCGTCTATGTGAGTAGTTTTTACACAATAAAACACAACACTTCATCCTTTTCTTCTTAATACTACGAAAATACATCGATTTGCGATTTTTTCAATACATGAGCGCACAGGACGAATGCTGACAGTATACTAACTAAAGCCACGCCCACTATGATGACGTCAGGACCTACTTAGAATCACAGTGCGCAGTTGCTTATGCCGTCTCCCCTTTGTATTAGCTTCATGGTCCTGAGCTACCTGCGTCCTGCTCGTTTCATCGGGCCGTGCTTCGATCTAGTCAGAGTCATCCAACACGGCGCTTGCCAGTACGCGGCTGCTACTCGAAACCTTACTTACCATCATTGAGGTATGTAGCCGGTCCATTGCTACTTTAGTCTATTGAGCTACTAGACTATTACAGTTATTTTTGTTCTTTCGTATATATCCCTGTTACATTACTACCGCTGTTACAATAAAATGGTTTATTGCTCACAAACTTAATAAAAATATCGCTCCATATTTTCTCACTTACACTTTCCTAATAACAGAAGCATTTACGCGTGAAACTAGGGGAATGGAAATTTATGTGCTCAAGGATTACAAGAAAAAATATTCACATTGTTACAACTTTACCTACACCTTATCACAATACAGATTATCAAAAGTCCATTGTTGAACTAAGACCTCATAGATTGCCTCATAGGAGGGATATTTGCAACTTGCCACGCTTGGTAGGTGTGAAAACCCTGCTATCTATCTCCTGGTTTGTTTTCTTGTCACCTCTTACGACACCCACGGGACTATATTTGCTTACGTAACTTTATTACTCACATATTACGTTTTATAGAAAATATAATATCAGCATCTATTCCTGACAAATTTCTTTAGATAAAAAAAAACAAATGTGGTCCATTTGTAACTCTACCCACATACAATGTATTTTTTATAGGATCGGCTACTAACGAGCACACAGTCCACCTGATGGTAAATGGTTTCTGTGACCCATAGACATCTACATCTATCCTCATTAAAGAATCGAAATGCAGATGCGTTGTCACCCGTGGGGAATAATATGTAATGCCTCGTTTCCTGTAAAAAGGGTCTCCGGTTCTCTACTCTCACCATACGAAACACAGCAGAGTTAAGCTGCTATTTTACACTAGTATTCTGTGAGAGCGTGGTCCTTTCTGCACAATATCATACATAAATATCTCTATAATACGCGCCATGTAGTTGATGGCATAAGAGAATTCGCTGCCCCATATCATGAAACAAGAGATGAGCAACAGCATCTTTAAATGGCTCAATATAATGAAAAAACAGGGGTTGACAAACCACCTGTCCGGCGTGGCAGTTCTGGTAAATATTCCCGTTATGAGGCTATCGGTGGCAGGGGCTTACGTTCACCAGTTGACTTTTGATAGGCTGTGGCGAACAAATAAGCACTATACATTGGTACCAGCATCAACAATGTGAACACTGAGAGAGTATAATGAATGCATTTAGCGCAACAGTAGTTAACGTTGCAACTGTGGAAATATGGTACCCATGAGGTAATTTATGTTAATGTTGTTTTACGGTGGACTTGTTATTGGGGCAGAATTATAATAGCTCAGTACCAAGTGCTTGCTGTAAGCATTCCAGTACGCAAGCAATCCGTTAAGTTCTCCAATAAGTTCGATCTCTGCCGGCACCAATGTTATTGTAAATTGCAATTGTAATTTGTGACTTGCCACGTGCTCGGCGGTGAAAAAAAGCATGATACCTTCATATTGAATAAAACTATTTTTACGGATTCTATCGCGTTTAATTAACTTATTTTATATTCCCGACGTTACGGTTGCTTTCCAGCAACCGTGGTCACGGGGGACTGAGGTGATTGACGTCCCGATGTCAGAGTTAAACCGGAGTACCTTCAGAATGATACCTTCATGTCCAATAATGCATTGGGTTAGCAAGGCCAACATTTCCTTTCCTTATAACCTTTTCAGGGAGGAGACTTGTGTCGCATGTATATAGGTTGTAAATTTACTTTACATTTTAAATAGAAAAATAGAACATTAGAGACGTGGTAGAGCCGCACCTATTAAGC